GAAGAACATCCACTGATGATCTGGCGAAGCAAAAGGCTGGATGAGCCAACCCCTCTAAGCCCCCTCCTGCAACTCAACACCCAGGGTGGAAGAAGGGGCAGGTAGACACCTCTCAGGAAGGTAATCATTCTACTTCTGAAAGCAGAGGTTCTAGGCTAGAAAGCAGCAAAGAACAACCCAGGGAGGCAGAGTTTCATATTATTGAATTATGATAGATTTTTCTAAATATCACAGGGCAGGGAGATAGGCCAGTAGTGGATTTATTTGTTTGCTTCCTTATTTAGTGTTGATCGTAGTGAATATTTTCACTGACTCAAGGTCATTTCAAAAGACTTGGATGCAGAGTGATTAACAAAAGTTTCATGGAAAGAAGCATCCTTCATCTTATGTAGTTTATAAACCATAGAAGGGTAAAGTATAAAGATGGGGGTTTGGTGTTTCAGTGAAAAGACACAAAAAGGAAACATGCTCCTCAAAGTTAGCACAAAGCATTAATGCTCAAGTAATTCTCTGCAGTCACATGAGACAGGTCTTTGTAGCACACCAAGGTTGGTTTAATCGTGAAATCATTGTGAACAGAGAAAACAGCAGTGGACAAAAATAAGGGGCCAGTTTCAAGAATCTCCTTAGAAATCTGGGAGAAAGGGAAGCCTGTAATTAGGGCCTGCTGCACTCCTGCTCTGGGGGTGATGTCATCGCCCATAGAAAGGCAGCGCTCAGTGCCAGGAATCTGAGCTCACAGTGAGTGCTTCAATAGCTCAATAGGGTCTCGCATGGGAACTCCTCGTCGTGGTGATTAGCGACCAACGTATCTACTTTTTAGGTACCAGTGTTTGGCTAAGGAGAGAGAGAAAATTAAAACATCCTTGTAAATGGGAGTCATGTGAGAGAATGTGGCACAGAAGTTGTCCCATTAGAATCATAGGGATGGGACCTTAATTACCCATCAACACCCCTATGCCCTGCCAGACACACACCCACACTTCCCACTGTTTTACAGTGAGGAAGCTGAAGCTCAACAGGCGAAGTCAAAAGCCAGGACTAGAATCTGGTTGTCTGAACCCCACTGCAGTGCTTTCTGCCGCATCACCCGGCTCTGTCCACCATCAGTTCCCAAACTGCGGCAGTGTGGACACTCAGAACCTCACCCACCTAGACATCAGAAACTCAGGGACACCTGGTCACGGTACATGGGCTTCCAGACTGCACAGACCCCGAGGGCAAAAGCAGGTCCTGTTGGAGATGATTTCTGCCGCTTGTGTCATTGTGCGGAACAACACTGTGGCACAACCAGCAAAACCGGTTCTAGCTGGAAGAACTGAGCAAGAGTTCTGCCAGAATCAGGCTGCAATTGACACCTGGCAAATCTGGAATTAATCCCCAAACCTCATTCTAACTAATAGTTTTAACACCTTCCCTGGCCAAACATTTTCCTATAATTAAATTAAATTAAATGATTAGAGTTTCATGTCTTTTCCTTTTTTTTCTGGTCATGTTGCGTGAGAGAGAGAGATATAATGTAAGTCAGCAACAAAAGAAAGAAGTAAGAGCATGCTCTGGAAAAATCTACAAATCTTATCATCAGGACTTGATTATACATCTGTGGCAAGACTACCAAATATTGAACTGGTTCTTTGTTTGTTTTTAAATAAATGCATCAAAACTTAAATATCCAAATAAAGCTGTCCTTTAACATAATCATCTTGGGAAGACATTTTTCTCAAATGATGTTGCCATGGCTTAAAGTATATCTGCATAGGGTCTCTTCTGACATTGTCTGCTTCAAAGATGATTTATAAAACCTTGTGCAAAAAAAAAAAAAAAAAAAAAATCTCATCTTTAACCATCAAGTGGTGTTATCCAACTTATTGATTTGCATTCACATTTAGATCCAAGTGGTTTCCAGTGTTTTTTAAAACACCCTCAAAGATCAAGATTTACCACTAGGATGTCCCAGCATCTCCTTCCAGTGGTGGTGACAGGAGTCAGCCTCTGGCCTGCCGCTGACTGAAGGAACCAAGGGGCCGGGGAATGCTGCTGCCCTGCTCACCCGTTCCTCTGAGCCACAGGGTGGACCGAGCTTACCTACGGTTTCAAGCTCCGTTGTGTCACCACTTTCCCCACCACCAAAAGCCAATGAAGGTCCAAGCTGCATCTCAGCTGTCTGGGGGGATGTGGTAGGGCATGAAAACTCAAATGTCCACGAGGGTTAGGAAGGGAAAGTTCCAGAATGGAGAAGGCTAGAGAAGGCAATAAAGAGAACAGCCAGCACCTCAAAAGAGCCACTCATTTCCTTGCAAACACTTGGGCCCATGGTTGCCAGAATCTTTAATTATCCAAAAGATCTAAAAACTTGGTTTTAAAAAATAAGAATCTTTTGGTTATTAAATGTGAGCTAAAAATGTTAAAATCTGAAATATTTAAGTACATATAATACACACATACATATATGCATTCTGTGCACCATACAAAGGCAATAAGTCACAAGTTTGTGTCCTCTGACCACGCAAACCAAAGTATCATGTGACACTGAATGGGACTCCAGCCCTGAAGCCTACAAAAGATTTCTGTGTGGATGTTATCAACAGGAATTTGAAAGCGAATAAACTGCTCCTGAAAAGTCCACGATATGAAAATCACAAACAATTCCACTGCGAGAGGAATGCCTTTTACATCTTGCTTTGTTGAAAACCTTTTTTCCAACAACCATTTGATTTTGTTTTTACAAACAAAATCTGTGTGTTATAAAATCAATGATATTTTAAAGAAATGCCTTAGGCTCTGCAGATAAACAACAAAAATCCTCTCAGCCTCCCTAATGAAGTGGATTTAACTTTTATGATTTTTCTTTTAAGAGCCCTTCAGCAGTTTGGAGAAAATAATTCGGAACTTTTTTTTTTATTAATTAACTCAGACATCAAACAACTACAACAACCAATAGTCACTAAAAATACATATTAATGAAATAAAACAAATTTTGCTACAACATGCAATATATCAAAGCATATGTGAGCTTAAACTTGTCTGCCTGGAGCACACATGTACACATGTGTGCACGTGTGTACACATGTGTGCGTGCACATACACACCCACATGCACACATGTAGACAAGAAAAGTAAGCTCCTACATATGGTAAATGAGTGGTACAGCATGAACCGGGCTAAAAGGTCAACTCAACTCCAGATTAATTACCTCACTGGCTTACCACAGAGCCTGAAGCCTCCAGTGTTAAACTGTCCCTTCTAGTTCAGGCATTTTCTTTTAAAGGTCCCCATTGAAATGCAACGGTTAACACATTCATCCACTAGCACTCATTATCTCAGACTCCATGATAACGAAAATTATGGCGATGATTACAGCTCTCATTTATAGCTTGCTTTAACACTGATACGGCTCCTCCCATTGCACAATCCTGGTTTCTTCCCAGTGACTCTGAGATAGGTCCAGTCCTGCCTCTCGGCAGTCACAGTTGTACAGATATTGGTTCCCGGCCTCCCTCCCCAGAGCACTGGGCCATCAGGCATCACACCCTCAGCATGACGCTGGGTGTGGCAGAGACATGTGGATATGTGGGTTTGTCTGCTTTGTTTTGTTTCGAATGGGGGAACCAAGGCCCAGGGACGTCAGATGACTTGCTAAGGCTTCTGACCCATCCTGGCACTGTGCCACCACACAGACTGCCTCTTAGTCCCGCAATCTGGCCTCTCAGAGAACAGGGCCTGAGGAGGAAGGGCGAGCGTCGTCTGCACCGAGGAAGCGTCAGGCAGGAACAGAGGAAAGGTATTCTGAAAAGGAGAAAGGAGCTCAGGCAGCTGAGGGGATTAATATAAAAAATGCTGAAAGCATTTTATGTCTGGGGCAGGGAACTTTAAATGCAGGGGGAGTGGACCTCAGAGACAAACTCCGCCTGCAGTTCCGTGTGGGCCCCCATCTCGCATCCTGTGGCAAGGCCTGCTTCCTTCCGTGGGAGGTGCTGAGCCACTGGAACCTTCCCCAGGCTGCGCTGGCACTCGGAGTGTCACTGCTTGCCCATTTGGGTCACCTTTCCTGGACCTACAGGCAGTTTCATCTGCATTGTTTCATATGTGAGTGAAATGAGACACTGAACAATTCATCTCCTACAGTCATGCCTGCAAACTCCCAACTCACTTCCTTGCTCACCCAGCCTTCCCCCTGCCCACAGACAATACAGCATTGACCAGAGTTGTTTGCATTGACCTTTTCATTAGTTTGAAGACAAAGTCTTCCTACACCCTCCTAGAGGGTATGCAAGTGAAGCAGAAAGCAAGCTTAGGTTTCACCTGGGACCTTTCCTTAAATGCAAAATCAAAGAGACTCGTGGCTGGAAAAGCAAATCTGGGTACTAAGGAGCCCACTTTCTTACCCAAACCAGGGCAACAGTGGAAGTTTCTCCTCAGGGCTCACCTCGCCAGAGATTTTACCCTTGCAATTCTTAGCCACACTGACACCCAGAAAAATACAAAAAGTTAAGCAACCAACTTGGACAGAGGTGGCTCAAGGTCACAGTGGTGGCTGCATTCCAGTCACCGAAGCTCAGAGACCTGCAGCCCTGCTTCCTATACCCCTCTCTCAACCAGCTGAAGCCTGGAAGGGGTTGTGGGGTCAGGGGGCCCACCCAGTCCCTCACCTATGAAGACATTAGCTCTGAGCCCTTCCCTGCCTCTGGAGGAGGCTTGTGAGCGGCCTTTGTGGGAAGCTGCAGGGAGAAAAGGTCATGTGGCTTAGTCTTCCCAGCTCTAAGTGCTCTGATGGAGCTTGGGGCCTGAACCATTAGGCTAGTTACATTCTGCAGGGGGCACAGAGGAGAAGCACACTCCCTTTTCTCCCCTTCCCTCCAAAAAGACAAACGATAATAGGTTCATTTTCTTTTTATAGGAGGCCACCTACAGAGACTTTTGAAAAAGAATCGACACCTGTAGAGAATGGGCACATTATGTAAGAAGTCTGAACAATGAATCCATGCTACTTTATCACTCACCTTGGCCTCTTCATTCACATCCCAGGTAAAGGAAACAGCATTATATGCAATCTCTTCGATGTTTCCAATCGTATTAAAGCTCTCCTTGTAATCAGCTGTAACATTAAAAAAGAAAAAGGTTGTAAAAAAGTGACTCTGTGACATGTATAGAACCATCATTTTCCAACGGGTAAATTTAAACTTTGCCTATTTTTTCTGGCTACCTCCATGGCAACAGTTAAGGGTTTTGTGCTCACTAATATTCTTCTGCTAATATTTACTCTATAGGGATGTAAGCATGTTCCGTCTATTAAAAGAGTAAATCTATGAACCAATGTTCTAAGTTGATGTGTTTGTTTCATCTTTTACTAGTTTTGTAAAATTACTAAAGTTTCTTTTTCCTCCTGAACCCTATGTCACCTACCTACTCCCTTTCTTGCTACCTAATTTTGCTAGCAGTGCCCAGAGTATTCTATTGGGCTTTTTTTTTTTTTTGGTAGAACAGAATATTCCATTTATCAGCCAGGCAGTATCTAGCTTTAGTGATGAAATTCGAGGGGACTGCAAGGAAACTTGTTAAAATTTCTTTTTGGACTTAGTTACAGAGAGTTGAATTAATTATATTCAGCTCACTGTCAACACCTATCCATTCAAGGCCCTCTTTTATTTTATGTCTTTATTTAGGTAACATGTACTTATTTTATCCACATTCTCTTCCCATGCAAATACAATAGCTATCAACATGTTGATATGAGAAAATATGAAAATGTGAAATATGTTGATTGGCCTATGTACAAAGCTTTAATTTTCATATATTCTGTAGTTGGTTGGCTAAGGTTGCCAGATTTTGCAAATATTTCGGATATACTTATCCTCAAAAAGTATTGGTTGTTTATCAGAAATTCAAATTTAACTGGGCACTGTGTATTTTATCTGGCAACCCTTGCTTTGGACCTTTTCAGATCTAACCACATTGCTGGTCATGTCCCTGTTTCTAGCTGTGGCTGCATAGAATTCTGGAGTGATCATCGACCACAGTTTACCTATCCCTTCTCGCCAGAGATGAACCCTTCAGGGATCTTCACTCTCTGGTGCCACAGACAACACCGTGATAAAAATCTGTATTCCTGGGTGTCGACTTGATGGTTGATCACAGAAAAACCTACTCAATGTGCTCTCTGGAATGGCCCTCCAGAATGGGTCTGCCAACCTAGTCTCTCACTAGAATTCTATTTTCCCTCTTTCTCACCAAATTTCTACTTTTTTCCCACTCTAACAGGTACAAACCGACGTTATATTTGCATTTCTTCTACCACTTGTGAGTCCAAGCATCTCTTCCTAAACAGGGTAGCTAACCAAGTGTCTCCTTAGGTAAACTGCTTACTCATGCCCTTTAGTCATGTTTCTATGGTTTCCCTAGGGAAATTTTAAATTGAAACTATGTATCTTTACATTTTAAATAAAGTT